GAGACAGAAAAGTAGAGTAGAAAAGAGAAAAAACAGAAACCATGCAGTAACTTCTAGAAATCTGCCTCCAACCCTGCATGAGACGAGAAAGACGATCAAAGAAAACGTGAAAAAGCTTCCAGAGCAGCAGGTAGATCGATTTCCATGAGAGTAGAAGGAAACCCTGTGGTGACTAAACTCTGTAATTAATGGTGGTTTATATCTATAGCTGCTGCTTCGTGATTAGCATCAGTGTGAATGTTGTGCAAAATGATATCCTGCAGATAGTGAATGAATTATTATCTAGAAGTGGAGTTATAGTTAATTATTTAACTTATTCAAAAATGAAGGTGAAATCAATTTAGTGTTTCTATTGTATTATTGTAGCTCTAATTTGCTCATCTACCAGGCTTTATGCCTTTCACCTCTGGATGGTTCCTGATCAAATCCAGGTATCCACCAATCTAGTGACCCAGGCTAGGTTAATAGCAGAGCTATTAATTATCAATCAAAGACTATTTATCTCTGTTTATTCACACTGTTACCAGAAGGGGGTGGATCTGGCCTGAGTGATAAACCATCCGTATATGAATCACAAACAACTGCAAGTTAAACAATGACGTCTTTATTCTCATAATTCAGGATTACAGAAATTTAACGTCTGAGCAAACATGCTGTTAGAAAATAAACGCCAGGTAGACTGATTCGTTTTGAAAGAAAAAGAATAAAACCCTAAGAGTCAGTTTAACTGGCTGCTGAGATTGTCCAAGATGTTAAAACATTCACTAATGTCCGTTAGAACAGCAGCAGGTATGATGATAACAGTGCAATTAAAACAACATGAATACATTCAGCTTAAATGATAAATGGTTAAAATGCATTAACAGCAGCAGCAGAAGTTTGTTTAGCAAAGCAGCAGCAGGGCTGTGTGTGGGGGGGTATATGTGTGTGTGTGTGTGTGTGAGACCCCCCTTTTCAAATGATGAAAGGAGGGAGGGGCAGCTTGTAACAACGCGTCCTCAACCACATGACCACACGCGGTTAAATGTGAGCAAATTTTCTTCGGAGATCTTCGGAGATTCCCGTCTCACCCAGTTCAGCGGGCGCTATGCACGATGGGTCATTGCGATCCGTGACTTTTGATGCAGGAAAAAGAAAGCTACTTCCAGCTAGGTTTCTTTAGCATTTCAAGTGAAACGGGCCTCTCCCTGCGGGTGTTAAAACCCAGGGCACAGAGAGAGATTGATCTCACGCTCTGGGTTTTAAACGCTGAATGACGTAGGGGTATTTCCTGCTGGGGTTCAGGCGTTCTCGTCAGCTGATTGGTTGATTTGAAATGGTTTCTCAAATTGATTTGGCTCCATTGTGGCAATATAGCCAAACACCTGGAACCAAACTCTCAAAACTGTGCTATGGATGCTTGGACATGCTTTTGAGAAAGAAAGTGTGTTTATTAGCAGGTGTGGGCGGCCCCAGACTCACCCTACAGGGGCCCAGATATCCAGAGCGACCACAGATCATTGGGACACAAGCAGCGCGGACACATGCATGGCTGCATCCACTACAGAAGGGCAGATGAGAGCCAGACCCCTAAGGAGTCAAATCCAAATGGGGCCCAATCCCTGAGGCCACAGTGCCGAGGTGCTATGGGGGCATAGCAGCAAGCCCATGGGCTTTGCCAGCACCCAGTCACAGTCAACGGGGCCCCGGATGACAACCCAGCAGGTCCAAGGCCCCTGATTGCACCATCTCCCAGTGGAGATCCCACAGGCCCAGGAGGCCTAGGCCCGGCCCCCACCAGGAAATAGACAGCTCCCACCGGACCACCAAAATCTACATCTGGAGAACCTCACTGCACCAGCAGACAGAGGCCCCCCTCACTGGCGGGGAGCATAAAAATGAGAGGCCATGCTCATGGTTGGCCCTAGGGTGTTCCAGTGGGTGGGAGTTGCACCAGGCACTCAACCTGACAAGTAGACAAAAACATATTCACTTTTATCAAGATCAAGATCCCCAGCCCCCCTGGGGCTTTTCTGGGGCTTTCTGTCTGAAATGGAGCTCCTTTCCCTTCCTGGATAGAGTTCTGCTGTGGACCCCGTGGTTCAGGAAGAACAGGAGCACTGATCTGCTTTATTCAGAATTAGCTCCACACTGAGCTGCTCATCTGCTTTCACTTCATTTATCTATAAATCACAAAACGCACCGCTTCTCACAGAGGACCTACGCTATGCTAAAACTAAACCATGCTGAATCGAGCTAACCACATAGAGCTAAGCACATAGAGCTAACCACATAGAGCTAACCAGTTATGGAGCTAACCAGTAAAGGAGCTAACCAGTGAAGCTAACCAGTGATGAAGCTGTTCCACAACACTGTCAGTGGCGGATATTGAAGATGTACGGATTTTTGGTTTTATGATACTCTGAATTCTCCTGTTTGGATGTGGAGGATACCTGATGTATCTATAATTACGGAGGATGTTGGCGGTAATTTGGGCGATGATCAGGCTGCCGGCAGCAGCTGAGGCGCTCACAAAGGCTGCGAATGAGCAAGATCGGGAGCTGAGCCGTATGCTGGGTGCGATTGAACACAGGCTGGCTGTGGTGGTTGAACTCAAAAGTGAAAATGGATAATATCTTGGATGTGCACGCCCGCTTCAAGGTGGAAAAACCCAACAAACTTGGAATATTGGATTCGCCGCGTAGAGCCAGCAAGAAAAGACTCAAGACTGATGGAAAATTCCTGCACAGCCTGCTCTCAAAACAATAAGTGTTATTTTGGATTCGGCCTCCCCCTTATCAAACCTCCCCTGGATGTTATGGCGGAAGGGCCCAGAAGAACTGCTGCCCCCTCCCCTACCTATGAACACCTGTGGATGCGTCCAGAACTGTAGCGCTAGTTGATAAAATTCCATCTTATCAAGGACAATAGCCTGTGGACGGCGTTCATGGACAGATTGAACGCACTCATACACACATAACTAATGTCTCAAATACCAGATTGACTTTCATGTGGCTCCAGCCTCCGATGCTTTCCTTCTTCTGAAATGTCTTGTGTTTATATGTGCTCTTCTTGTGCTGAGATGCTTTTTTTATTTCTTAAACTGTATCCTGTCAGGATACATTTTGAGATATACTTTTTTCCCACCTCTCCCTCCCCAATGTGGCTCCTATGATTCCACACAGATAAAGGCAGCGCTATAGGGAACCACCTCCAGGTTGGGGCCCTGGGCAGCCATAAGAACACGCCAAAGGCAGCGTTCTGTGGCATGCATGACAATCGTCCTTCCTACCCCCCCATCCCCACCCTAATGTATGTGATGTATTGTGATGAACAGTTTGTACTAAAACTGAAATCTTGATTACAATTTACATTGTAATCATGTCTAACTCATTGCTAACCCTTGGCTAACCCGTGGATAA